ATGTCAGCACAACAAATTTTCAGAATTTTAAATTATAAATAATTAAATATTAGATAACTAATTAAATAATATAAATTCAAAATTTGAAATAAAAATACACATGTCAAATAAAGATCAATTGGTTATAAATCTCCACTTCAAATCACGTTAAATAGATTGTTTTAAAAATTGAATCTAGGATAGATTTACTATTTTTTTTAAAAAAACTAACTTATACTACCTTTTTTTTTAAAAAAAAATGCACTTATATAACCACGGACAAATATCGTCAATTTACATAAACACTGACAAATGTCAGCACACAAAAAAATCTATATTTTGTTTTTTTTTTAAATTGAATTTATAAATTTGTAAATAGTGGTTTTCTTTTTAAAACAATTTAATCTAGGAAATTTTAAATATTTCAAAAAATATCCAATTTATAAAATCTATATCTATATATTTATATCTCTCTCTATATATATCTATCTATATATAATAGGAGAAGTAAAAAATGTCACGTGTCAGCACCACAAATATTCAACAATTTTAAAATCTATCTATATATAATAGGAGAAGTAAAAAATGTCACGTGCCAGCACCACAAATATTCAACAATTTTAAAATTCAAAAAATAATTATAATTTCTTAAAAGTTTGTATCTAATTGACAAAAAAAATTCTATTAAAATATTTTTTTTCAAAATTAAAAATTTGCAGTTTCTAAAATCAATTAAAGATTTATTTAAATTTGAAATTAACGTGCAAACAAAAAATGAATCGTCACTTGGTATTAGTTACCTTTTTTTAAATTAAAATTTAAAGTTATTTTTTAAGATAAGAACAAATTTCAATAGTTGCCAAGTGGCAAATTAATAAGGCGCCAACCTATGTATTATTTGGCAACATAATTTAAAGGTGAAAGTTCTACGATCGACCTTATTTACTTTAGCACAAAAGATTTTGTAGTGAATTCTAAAAAAATGTGTTCTTACGAATGGATACTTACTGGCTCATCTCTACTTATGATTCAATTGTGATGATTAACTATTCAAATTAATTTATTTCACTGAATTATAAGGTTGGTAGCCAGCAATGTTATGTTCTTTTCAAGGCTTGATGGTTTTTATGAGCATGAAAGAAAGTTAGTTTTTCCATATGTTATCATTATAACAAAAATAGCGTTTAACTATATTAAATATGCACATTAACAAAAAGTGGTAAAGCTCTATCAATATTAGTTAATTGTCATAAAATTTAATATTTTATATTTTTATAGGCTTTAGAAACATATACCAATTGTCTCTAAAAAAAAATATATATTTAATAGTCATTAATTAAGTGTCGCTATAGATCATTATTGGTTTAATGTACTTGATGGTATATATATTTATGGTATATATATTTATATTTTTAAGGCTTTATTTATTTGGTATTTTTTATTTTAAGATAGATCATCATTTTGAATACTTTAATGTACCGAGTTTGGATACCCAAGGTTAAATGCTTATTTACTCCAATATTGATTTATTGTTCTTCAGTCGGAGTTGCATTGCATTCTCTTTTGATATGACACGCTAAAATTGCACGCTAAAATATCATTCATAGTTAATGTTTTTTTTATGTATTCAATGATCATGATTTCATTCTTATTATATTTTTTCTTCTTCTGAAACAGGATTGTACCAAATTGAGTAAAAAGAATATCGGATGTGAAGATATAAATGCTTGGTTATTTGAACGTTTGTATTGGTTATCATATTCCAAATAATCAAATATGTTATATTCAATAAAGTTTAAACTCCTCCGCTTGCAATTTTTAAACTACTAATCTAATTTTTAATATTATTTTAACTTTTTATCGTTTCTTAAAATTCAATTTTAAAACAGTTCTAATAAATAGGGTGTGTGATTCCTTTTTTTTGTGGGAAGTTATCATATTTTTAAGGGAAAAGGGCATGATATACCCCTCAACTTTGTCATTTGGAGCTAATATGTCCCTCGTTATGAAAGTGGCTCATATATACCCTTACCGTTATACAAACGGCTCACATATACCCCTATTGTTATAATAATAATTATAATAATAATAATAATAATCTTAATCTTAATCTTAATCTTAATCTGCTTTTAAAATTATTTTTAAAGTATTTTATAGAATTAATTAAATTTTGAATTTAGATGTTAATTAGTTTTAAAATATAAAGATGTAAAATTTAAATTTCAACAAAAACAACAACAACAAATATTGAAACTCTATCTATAATTAAAAGGTGTTACGAATATACATACCAAAAAAATTACACTTGACAATCAATAAGTATCATCAATTATTCATTTTTGTGATATATTTTATCCTAAAAAATTTTGCCTTAAAATATGAACACGTTATGACAATATACTTTATTCTTATAAAATCAAGTATTTTTACAAAATTTAAGTTTTAAAGTTATATTTTTATAAAATCAAAATGATATAATGTATTTGAACAATTAAGTATTTTTTTAGTAATATCCGTGCAACGCGCGGGAACGTATAGTAGTTAATATAACAGGAAGGAAGTACTATTTTAAGCAAACGGTTAGTGACACCATTTTAATTAATATAACTAAATGCTGTTTTGAAAAAAGAAGAAGTAAATTGTATATTTGGACAGACAGGAGCATTTCTTACACTTTTGTGACGAAAATTTATCGTGCAAATTATTATTTTTGTTTAGTTTGAAGAAAAAATGACGCAATTAATATATAGTCAAGTTATAAATATTTGTGTGACTATAAATTATCTTATTAATGATAAAATTAGAAGTTTAAAGTTACATCGTTTCTAAATAAGCATGACGTTCTTTTCGAATGGACTAAAAATAAAAATATACCACATAAATATGTATATCTTGCTCAAAGCTTAGAATTTCGCTGCCAATACGTGTATATATGAAAACGGTATAAAATCAATATAAACTATGTATATAACTATATAATTTTTCTAATTATTGGTTTTTGAAATTTAAATACAACTATAACAACAACTTTTATGCAATATCCATCCAAATTTAATATAACTAGAACGACATACAAACTTAAAATACATTTTTTTATGTAATTCAACATACAATCATAATATAACTTTAATTCAAATTGGTACAATTCGGCTATAACTTCAATGTGAACTAATTATGATTGAAATTCATGTCAAAACTAGTTTGACTCTTACTCAAATTTTAGAATCAAATTGTTGGGTTCGAAAGAATCAAGGCATCATTCAGAAGCTTACAATTGTAAATCATGTTGGGGATAAGTCAGGTGACAACTAAAAATTAGAGAAAAGTCTCAAATATATATGTTATCGAACTTTGAAAAAAAGGCTCATCTATGCGATGCATCCGTTTAAAGTTTGGCTTATCTATGCCATTTCTTTTTCAGAAAAGGCTCACTCATACCATTATTTGTTAACTGAAAACAATTTCGATTTTGCAAAATCATTTTTTACACGTGGTCAATTATGATTCGGCCACACATTAATTAAATTATTTTTTAAAGAGAAAAACTCAAATATATCATCGATCTATGAGAAATGGGAAAAAGTTCATCTATGCCATCCGTTAGAAGTTTGGTTCATTTATACTATTTTAGTTAACAAATAAACGCATGGATGAACCTTTTCTTAAACAAAAATGACATAGAAAACAAACATATCCATATTTGTTGATTTAAAGGGTATAAATGATGAAGTTCAAAAATGAAAAGGCAAAATATATAGTCAACTTGTTTGTTGGAACATCAAGTTAACAGGAAGATATGAACTCCGGTAAGAGGATATAATTTGGAATAATTGATCAATGTGTTACTATTGCAGAAATATTGTGGATTAACTAGCATACAATCACAAATAAAGAAAATAGAGAAGAAAAAAAAACACAAGAATTTAACGAGGTTTGGCTAGGCCTAATGTTAGTGAAAAATTACAATATAACAAAAAATACAAGATTACAATTGAAAATAAAATGAAGAAATAAAATCTCTTCAAGGCTGAGGTGCAGATATCTCGCTCTCTTTAAGGAGATTCAAACCCACTGCAGCAAATGTTTTTCACCGGTCCAGCAGTAGTCCTCTTGACTGTCCCCTCCAGGATACAACAACCTTCACAAAGTATAACTCAACAACTCTGGACAAGAGTTGAGTCCAAAGCTCCACAAAAAAGAACACCTCCCTTCAACTAATAAGAACTCTCTTTTTGACTAACTCTTTTACTCTATATTTTTCTTATGTATTGTGTCCTACAAACCAAATGAAGACCACCACTATTTATACTAGAAGAAGTCTTTCTAACAATGAATAGGAAGATAATGGTATAGTAAATAGTGAAGATAATGTTACATAGATTACAAGAATAATAGAGAAGTAAAGAATGAAATAAAGTTGAGGGCAACAAATGCACTAACGTGCAAATGCCAATGTTCAGAAAGCAATATGCCTTATGCCTCTGGTCATTAATTGACCATGAGAAATTAGGCACAAATGTCATACATTTCAGCAAAGACTTAGTGTGGCATGGCAATGTGAATATGTAACAATTTGTATAATATTAAAATGGTCACACCAATACCTAATCATTCAAGCAAAAGCAGAAAGAGTTTACTTATATGAAAGAAAAGAAGAAAGTGTACAATACTTTCAAGCTCTTAAGACTATATTGTAAATCGCGCACAATACTTTAGAATCTCCAACTGCATCCCTATATATAGATCCCAAGCAGTCTCAAATCTATAAGGAAAAAGTTTTCCCTATCCTAAAAAGACAATATATTCCTTTCCCAGATCTACTAGGACAAAAAATCACAAGTCTGATGATAACAAGAAGTTCACTCAAATCATTGAAGACACAATACAAAGCTTTGGACAGCAAGGCAAACCAAGTAGCAGATGGTTTAGCCAAGATTGCGTACAATTGAAAGTATATAATCGGTTACAACAAGCTAGCAAAATGGGAAAACAGGCCCATCAATTGAGACGGTTACTCCTACTTACTTAACGGAACCTGTGAATGCTAGAATAGTCTGTATAGTTGTGAGTATGAGGAGTATGATGGCTGCCACTGTTGAAGCTCCTACCCAAGGACTACTAAAATAATTGCGCATCAAATTTGCCATCACCCTGTTCAATGTTTTATCACAATGTTGATATGCTTTGATGCATTCTTCATTGTAATAGAAGGTGGGATAAATAGTGACCCCATTTGCAATTTTGTTGAAGAGGGTAGATACGTCTTTGTCCTCTCCCATACAATTCTCTATGATTCCTTTACGGCGAAGCAAATTCACATCTTTGTCTGAGTCGATAAGATAATCCATGAAAACTGCAAAATCACTAAAATATTTAGGTTGCATATCATATGATTGTTGCTCAAAAGCAATGAGATTTCGTAGAAGGGTTTCCGTCTCATCTTCAACTTGAAAACAAGGGATTGTCATCAATCCATTTTCGAACTTTATATCAAATAAACTTTTCATATCAGTATTATTGTCCTTGTTACTATTAAAATGATTTCTGACCTTTGCAAAGCTAACTCCAGCTTCAGAAAGCTCTGTTGCATTGGGCATGCTCTTATGCCACTTTATATTTTTGTTTGACTCTTTCACGGGATTCCCATGACATGCAAACATATGAACTGCATGAAGTAAATGTTTGATATTTCCAACATTATATTCTGCCTCTATAAATAATTCAAAGGTCATTTCTTGCAACTCAACAAAAAAGGTAGATGGAAGGATCGCCTGTACTGCCAATGATAATTCATCATCTTCTCTTGTCATGTGATGAAGCTTGTTGAGGATAAAGAAAGGAAGTTGATTTTCTAGTAACATCAAGTCTCGAAGTATTTGATTCTGTATGCAACCAATGTTACTGTTGAAAATTTCCTCTTCTCCTTCCCACAATTGACAACGATCTCGAATAAACTCTACCACAAAACAACCATCAAGCAACAACATTTTGCAAAATTCATCAGTATCGACATCTTCTATATCGTCGTAACACTTTATTGCATCCTCCTTCAGTTTCTCCAATTCACTAATACAACTTTCCACATCAAGACTCTTATTTCGTTGAAGAAATCTTTGTAGGTACAATAATTTGTACTTTTCCATTGAAACAAGTTGAGGTTCATTCTTATGATAAGGACCAATAGAGACCATCTTTGGTGTATAAGCAGCTGAATTTGATTCACGTAGTCCCACATTTACTTTGAATATCGTACACGATTTAATAGATGAATTGTTCAAATCCTTAAATATTTTATCAAAGATTTGATTTACACATTTCTTTGTTTGCGACCCTGATGTATCTTGACCATTTGTTTCTTTAAACTCGATTATACAATCCACTTTCCTCCTTTCTTCTATCTGTAACGGAAGAGAGTAACAAATTTTTAAAAAGTAAATTTTAGGAATAACAAACATAAAAAATTGTATTAGCGCTCTATTGCTACAATTTTACTATTTGCGCTCCATAGCAAACATAGTTTGTTATGGAGCATCTGATTTGTATAAATTGCGACGCTACGTATAAATCGGGCGTCTATGTCTATTAAAATTAGGTTTGTATATGTATATGTTCTTTGTGTTAGGCTGTGGCGAGCGAGATTAGGAGAGAGATGAGAGAGGCGAGCGAGAGAGGGCAGAGAGTGGAGAGAGGTGAATTGTATAAGTATATCAATTAGATAATTGTATATATGTAACTACTATGTATATGTATCAATGATTGTATTTGTATATCTGCATAAAATTTGAATTTGTATACAATTGAATCAAGTTAAAATATTTGTATTTGTGTATTAAATCTACATCTTGCTTTATACAAACACAAATTGTACATTGTATTTGTATAATTTGTGTTTGTATAAAGCGCGCGAGAGAGAGAGAGAGAGAAAGAAAAGAGAACTGGGCAGGGAAAAAATTGTAATAGTATAATTATAAGTGTATAGGATGGAGATATATGTATTTGTATTTGTATATGCAGTCTCTCTCGCTTTATACAAACATAAACACAATTTATACATTTAAGTTTGTGTAAAAGTGAGAGAGGTGAGGGAGAGAATTGAGAGTGTCGAGCAAGATTCAAAGGAGAGGGGCGAGAATGGTGATGTGTTTGTTACAAATTAGAATTAAATGAAATTGTAGCTATAACCTCTTTTTTTTGAATTAATAGTTTACTATAATGCACAATTTTTCCATTTTAAAATGTTTATTAGAAGCACTATGCAAACATTTATTTATTATTTTAATATAATCAACTTTGTGTCTAGATAATTAGATATATATGCGTTTAAAAATGTTGTGCATATATACCTTCATCGTTTAACAAATTATGCATATTTACCTTTTTCATTAACTAGACAAATTAAAAAAACAACTTAAAATTGCCTTTTTTATTTTAAGAATGTCAACATGACTTTTGAAACTTACTTCACACGACCTATTTTCTTTGCCCCTTCAGACCTGACTAAATTTTTTTAAAAAAAATCAAAAGGTGTAAAACCATAGTTAGTGAATAAGTTAGGATCATGAGATAGACCTAAAATTAAATGAAAGGAAAGAGTTAAAATTTTATATTTAATTGCCAAAAGAGAAGTGGGCGAATGAAAAAAAAAAAAAAAACTAATAAATTGATATAGTATTGAGAGAGATATACCTCATCTTTTTCAGTTTGACGAAGCAGTGGAGTTAGGTTATCATCTATTGAGGTAATCTCAATGGAGCGTGTCATCGATCTCTCTTTCTTTTAACTCTAATTCCTACAAAAAGACACATTCTTTTTAATTTCAATTGCTAGATACCATAGCTATTATTAAATATCCAAATAAACATTTAAAATTGTAGTGGTACATCATTTAAAAAAGAACACAACTAATTAATGATGAGTAACCAATATAAGTTGTAGTTAACTAGTAATTACTCTTTCCTCGTTGATTAAAGGCTTTGAGTTTAAGTATTAAAAATAGGCCCACATTCCAAAATGAGATTACTTATTGCAAATTCAAATTAATTAAATTCTAAAGTAAGTATAAATCAAAATAGAAAGAAGCAATAATGACTAAGAATCTATTAAATAAAATGACTATCCATTTGGGTCATGTCCTTCTGAGGTATAAAATAATATAATTAATTAATAGTGTTTAGCATAAAACGAGAAAATGCAGAAAATTACCTCTAATTTTTGCTGTTTCTTCTTGTATGTCTAATCAAGTCTTGCTTTTTGTGGATTTTTCCATTGCTATGGAGTATCTATTATATAGAAAGAAAAAGAGAAGAAATAAAGATAATTGAAGATAGTATCGTGATACATGTAGGGTAGAGGGTAATAATGTTACGATTTGATCGATTATTTGATATAATTTATATCATATCAAATTTTGATTATTTTATTTTACATAATCAAAATAAGGTTTTTAGAAATTCTCATCATCTGGGATTTCTTTTGATATCGATATCGTTTAGTTAAATTTTTTTATTTTTTTTGTTGAAACATTATGATAGGAAGGTGAGGACACAAATCAGGGTAGACAGGTTAGTAATGGTAGAAGTGCGTCCATACTAATAGGTAGAAGTGCATTGTCTTGTTGCCCTTACAAAGTTACAAGTAGTTGATTGTAGGATTATTTTTGTAGTTTTTTGTTTCTCGATTTTTGTTTCTATCTATAATTTCATATAGTTCAATTATAGTACTATTTTATAACAATATTGTTCTACTACACTACCTATTATTTTTGTTACTATTTATTGTCTCTTATATTTTTATTATGTCATTTTTCTAGATTTTTTTTTGTCATTAGCCGTGAGTTTATCAAAAATAAGTTGATCTCTACCTCATCTCTGAATAAAGACAAGATCTTCGTATATTTTACCCTCTCAAACTCCACTTTGTGAAAGTGCACTGAATATCTTGTTCGTTGTTATTATTATTGTTATAAGTAAGAGTAAGAAGTAAAAGATAGAACACGATGCACATATATATTTTCGTAGGATTTTGATAAAAACTCTGTAGATGCTTTAATAGTTTTAAAAGTGACAAAATCAAGGGAATAAGAAGGAAAAATGGCCTGAAATATATCTGAATTTTGACCGAAATTGTTGTAATGATACCAAACTTTGGAAAGGACCTTTTATTCCCCTGCACTATTTAATAGTGTATTTTAAAGGTGTATATGTGCCCACATGGACATCATAAATATTTCATTATTATAAATAGTAATGTGTCCACGTGGGCACATATATACCTTTAAAATACACTATTAAATATTACGGGGAGTAAAAGGTCCTCCATAAAGTTTGGTATCATAACAACAATTTCGGCCAAAATTAAAGTATTTGTCAGACCCTTTTCCCAAATAAGAAAGACAACAAGAATAGAGATCATTTCTACTATTTTATTTTATAGTATTATAAAATAGAGTTAAACAAACTCAATTAATTTATACTATACAGAGGTGAATTTCTATTAATTAAGATGAGACTCAAGAAGACAAGAACAGAGTCTACTAAAATTAAGTATTCAACAAAAGAAAAATTAAATCATATAAAAAAGATGCCCAATTTCCAGTAACTTACTAAGCAAATTGATGAAATATCATATAACTCAAACTATTAGAACTAATTAATTTCAATAGCAGTAAAATAATAAATTTTCAAAAAGAAAGACATTTAGATATAAATTAATTATCTATCGGTTTGTAGTCATTTTCATCGATCTTCATCGATCCAGGTCCGGGGGCCGGGGCAAGAAAAATAAATATTTCTTTATTTTCAAATTTAATATATAAAACATGTTTTACTCATAAATGTATTCGATATTTTCTTTCCTTTTGCACCTTTAAACTTAAAATGTTTTTTTGGTAAATAATAGACAAAAATTTGAGAGAACCGTTGACACAAGTCAATGACTAGATATTTATTCTATGATACTTTACTTTTGAGTACCAAATAAAAAGGTTAGGTGCAAAATTAATATTACTCCAAAATAGGGTAGTTGAGTAGATTCTTTAATATCACAACAAAAGTACAAGATGATTTTATTTCTGTCTCCTTTTGAGTAAATTAATTGTATAATACATAATTACCAGATTTTTTTTTTATATAATACATAAATAAAAATAAATAAATAGGGCAATTAATAACATTTTAGTCATTTTATCAGAATCAACACACCACTAATTGGTCATACACAATTAATAATACTAAACACTTATACGGAGCTTATCTTTTTCTTTTAGTAACAAACAAATATGGAACTTTGTTCACATAACTTCAATAATCAGCTTAGTTAAATTAAGTTTCACATTTCTTAAATACTGTGAAAAAAATATAACGATTAATATGAGAGGGAGAAAATATTAGTATAGCTTCAGTTAGGCGACTTAGAACTATAAGTGGTCAACTAAATATTAAAGCTTCCCCTTTCACTTCATTTCAATGTCTAGTTATATTGTTCATTTTTATTTACTTTTACTGCAAATAAAAAGTTAGATGCAAAAATTAATTTTACAAAAGAAAGAAGCTAAGCACGTTTTTTAAATGCTTACGTCTTCTTCAATTAGTCTATTCATTTTATTTTACTTTATTTGTGTACTAGATAATGTGGTCCGTGCTATAATATAAATGGTATGTTTTGGGGCTAATAACCGAGTTTTTGAAGCGATTGTTTGCGTGGATAAAGGAATAAGTTTTTTTATCACAAACCTGTACTTTCTTTGACGCTATTTAAGGCATAATAAGACTACCCACATACAACATTTTTGAAATATTTTATATTGTCAATTATCATGATTTATAGTATTTTTACGATAGATTCACTTCAAGAATCAGTGGAATTTTTTGTATTTTTTTCAAATTATCATGATTTATAGTATTTTTACGCAATTTTTAAATATAAAAAAAAATTAAAAAATAAGACAAATAAATTAAAATGGACCCAATATATGTTATTTTTGTTGTCTCAATTTATGTGACAAAAATGAAATTTGGAGAGTCATCTAAATTTTCATATTTTTTTTAAAAATGTTTTAAGTTATAAATTATTGTGATTTATAATATTTTTATGTAACTTTCAAATAACGTACATTACTGGTCACTTTGTCCTAATTTATGTGATATGGATAAAATTACAAAATTAACCCTTTTAAAATGTCTTTCAGATATTTTAAGTTGTTAATTATTATTATTTATAATACTTTTTTGGTAATTTTAAAATGATATGTGCTATTTTTTCTGTCCCAATATATGTGAGCCTGATAGAATTCTGAGAGTCAACGTATTGTATTATATAGCTTTTAAATATTTTAAATTGGTAATTATTGTAATTTTTAATGCTTTTTAAGTCATTTGTAAATGATATATGTTGCTTCCTTGATTGGGACTTTTCCATTTGTGACACATATATATAGATATTTGGTGCCCGTGCCAGCACGGGCCCAATAAATATTAATTTTTTTTGTTTTAATTTATGTGATATAAATGGAATTTGAAGATCAGTCGATTTTTTATATGTTTTCTTAAAAATATATTTGAAGTTATTAAATTGTTGTGATTTATAGTATTTTTTCTTTAGTTTTGAATAACATAGGTTACTCATGTTTCAATTCACGTGAATAATCATAAATATTTTAAGTTGTTAATTTATTGTGAATTCTAGAAATTTTGACGTTATTTTCAAATAGTACATGCTACTTATTCTATTCCAATTAGTCAACCAAATTTCGTATATGATTTTAAAATATTTTTAATTGCTAATTATTGTGATTTATAGCATCTTTTATGTAACTTTTAATAATATATAATTTGTTCAAATTCATATGACAATGATAAGATTTCAAGAGTCAACGCAATAAAAAATTAAATTTTTTAAAAAGTTGTACTTCTAATATATTTTGTAGCTAAAATATACTCTCTCCGTCCACTTGTATTTGTCATGTTGCACTTTTTGAAAGTCCATTTGACTAATTTTCAAAGTTAAATTAGATTGTATTAATTTGATATTTAAAAAAAATTAAATATGCAAAATCTATACAAAAAGTACTATAAATTGTTATTTTTTTTCCTATGAATATGATGAAAAAACACATTGTAAAATATTAGTTAAAATTCTTATAGTTTGACTCTAAAAAGGAAATCATAACAATTAAAAATGCATAGAGAGAGTAATAAATAGGTAATTAAATTTCAAGAAGTTTAAAATAAAAGGTTGAAAAAAAGAATTAGATAAACAACATATATTGAAAATTGAAAACATATAAATAATAAATGGGCCCAAATGAGGTCAAACTTTTTGGCTAATAAAGTAGTAGGTAATTAATGGTAGTAATATAAATTTTAAAGGTACAACCATAAAAGAAGAATGTACAACACTATGAAGCACATATCATCCAACACTTGGCATGTGCTAAGTAGTAGATATTCCCACTTATTATATATAGTAAAGTAATATATTAAAACTAAATAATTTATTTTACTTATTTATTTTAATAAATTAAAAGAACTTTATTACTTTTTCTCATATTATTCTTAATAATTTTAAGAAAAATGTCAAATCAACATGATCAAATAATATTAAACGGTTGACCGTTCCCACCGAACTACACTCTCAAATGTATCAATAAAAGCTTTTATATATATATATTTGGCTTAAGTCATCGACAACCACTCAAAATTGTCTGCATTTTTTATTTAGACACCTCAAATAAAGCTTGTATCTATTGAACACTTATGACACTT